CAGAAGGTTGAAAGTCTCAGTAAGCATGCAAGCTGTACATAATAATACAAATTATACACAACATATCTACCAGGGACATTCATTCCTTGCCTATTACACCAAATTCTTTCTCTTGCTAGCATCACATCCAATGATCTCATGTGATTATCTCATATTTACTCCTTTTTACAAAGTGGCCAAGCGAATGCTCTGACACACATGAAAATGTATACTTATAATAAGTGCAGATTTAGAATTAAAGTAGCTCCTATTAACCCATTACCGGGTATATTTTGAAGCCGAAAACAAAAGCTTCCGGGCGGCTACAAAATCAGCGCACGGGGCTGGCCTGGACTCTGCCCGCGGCCCGCTGCTGCGTTGGAGCGCAAGCCCCGATACAGCATCACACTGGCGGGACACCCGGTAATGTTTATTTATTCGGGTGTCTCATATGTGGGACACCCGTCGTTACTGGGTTAAGTTCGCTTCTGACATTGAAACTGTAGTGCAGGGGAGGGGGGGCATCTCAACAACTGCAATCAATGGTGCAAACATTATTCAGGATGATTAATATTAGAGCTATATGAAGAAGAAGTTAACAATTCTGCTGTTGTAATTTCTACAAAGTACAGCATTTGTTTGCAGGAAGTGCTCTTGGAAATCGAGTCTCGGTGAAATATTAACGTTGGATGCAGCTCCCCAATTAAGAGTACTTTTAGGGTTCATGAAGAAATACTCGTAATACTAAACTTAATAAGGCTGACTTGCAAGTTGGCAGGTAATACCTGGGATTGAGAAACCCAGTATATCTAGTAACTTTTAGGAATGATCTCCTACAATGGAAACACTCAACAGGTACTGTGAAACAAATGATATGGACGAATGCCAGTCTACGTTACCGAGTTATTGGAGGATCAACTATACATGTACAGAGAGGGATTGTGAACTTCAATATCAACCAAAAAGAAATCAAACTTGATTATTACCTTATGGCCATTTGGTGTTGGTAAACTTGTTGTTGAAGCATATAGTTCTGCAACAACTCAATTCTCTCCCTCTCAGCCTGCTGCTTCTGGGCTGCTAGCAACTCTGCTAACTGAAAAATAAAGGTAATTACATGAATAATAATAATAATAATTATTATTATTATTATTATTATTATTATTATTTATTATTATTATATAATATAATAATAATAAAAAACATACTTAAATAATAATAATAATAATAATAGTTAAAAAAAAAAAGCTGCTTTTAACACCCTATGATCCAAGTGTAATGGAAAAACTTGGGACAAGGGTCAGGTGACCTAAAGATCTCATTATGGGACAAAATGGCCAAGGGTCAGGTGGTGCGAAATTGCCGTCATGAGCGAAGGTGACAGTGAAGGAAAAGACTTACAACGAGTGCATAACTCATGGAGTATTAGACTCACTTGGTGTTTGGAAGTGGATTTTGTATTATTCCCATCGATAAATGTAGAATGTGATGTGCGTAAGCCATGACTGGAAGAGCTTCCTTTGAGGATGTCATTTCTAAGCTCAGCATTGTATTCCTGGCTGCTGTGACCAGTGACGCAGGTTGTTTAAGAAAATTGAAAACTACAAAAAAATTAATATGACAAAATAACGTTACATTTATTTTCTTGTACCAATTTTTTTTACTACATAGAGATGCTATGGAGTCTGAGCAAGGAAAATGGCAATAAAGCTAAAAAGGTTATGCAAAATAACTTTTCAAAGGGGAGGCAGAGTCTTGCCACTGCTCACAAGTGTATATGCACACTCAGCCTTTGCATTGCACGCCTGGCCGAGTGGCCACTTACATAACCCGCAGCCCGAATTTTCAGCCTTACGATTGCTGTGACGCAACCGGATGCAAAGCATTAAGGGAACCATCCCACAAGGTAGGGGCTGTGTTACAGTAGGTTATGAAATCAAAGTGATCTTAAGATTAATCCACATAAGAAAAAATTGGGGATAGAGCTCTGTGCCAGGCAACTTCAGTTTCCAGTATGCTCAATATCTTGAATGTTATTTCCAAAAGTTTATGGTTTGTGTAAATCAACCAATGAAATGCTGCAAAAATGAGGTATGGTGTAGGCATGGTCAACCGAGAAGTGATTTCCTTAAATGATTCTGACTACTTGACCAAACAGATCACACATCACCCCGGAAACACACAGGAAGTCGAGACAAGCTAATGCACCATAATTAGGACTAATTTTGACATGGTAATATACAGATGCCAGGAGTTAGCACATGCCAATGGTAATGTTTTGGTAAAGAAGTTGGGTTGTAAGGGGGAGTGGGCATTTGTAGCCACATGACTTGATCAATAAGGGTCATGTAGACTGAACTGATACGGCAATAGCTACATGTTGATTGAATTCATTGGGTATTAGTTTTCAGACTATAGAAAGGTGGTACCAACTTTTTATGCCACTTGACTGCCAATTCATAATGTTTTGCCAGGTTTACACAAAACGTTCTAAATCATCCAAGGTAATCACCCACCATAT